AAAAAAAAAAAAAAAAAAAAAAGAATAGCTCTTCACACTATATATGCCAACATAAAAGCACTAAGAATTGTTTTGTTTACAAATAAAGCTGGATAATTTGAAACAAAAAGGTTAATATTTAATTAGAAATTAGCTTAATAAAATAAAACCAGTAAAAGACCCAGAGTAGGGAAACCTACTCATTTTCAAAAAAAGAAACAAGAACAAAGCTGACGTTGAAGGCAAAGTCTGACTCCCTCTTCAGGGGTTGATCCTCTGCACGTCACTGTCATCAGACATAAAACCACTGATTTAGAGATTTCAGGTAATATTTAAAGAACATGAGAATAGAACCAAATAGCATAGTCACTGTAAAAAGGGAAGAATGTACTATACCTCCATTCTTTCTTGTTTAACTTCATCAATTTCGTCATCTTCAAACATTGCTAAAAGTTCTCCTGTCTGGTCAATAGAGTTGAGGAAGTCTTGAGCAATTTTTTGTCTTTTGTTCGCATTATTGCTGCCACTCAATTTGTCTTCATGAAGTCAAGGGGAAAAAAAAGAAATATTCTCATTAGGTTTACATAGATACTAATCATTACATGTATTAAATATAGTATAAATAATTCAGAATTGGAATTCTCTGAAAATAATCTATAAAAAAATTCTTGCATCCAAAATAAAAGTGTAAGTTGTACAGAACTAAATCACTTATTCATGTCACAAATTAGACTGACAGAATAAAACCAAATGATAAATTACCAAAGTAAGTATGAAAGAGCTAATTAAAATCCCTTATAAAAAGAGAGCGTGTTCTCAGATTTGGAAAAATAATACTGCTATATGGTATTTATAACAGACACCTCTAAAACAAAAATGACAATCCAAAAAGATGATGAGTAAAAATATGCTAGGCAAACATGAGCAAAGAAAGCAGAACTGGTAACATTAACATTAAAAAATACAGCTCAAGACCAAAAACACTAAAGGAGACAGGGTGAAACAGTATCTAATAATAAAAGGAATATTAAACAGCCATAAAGTTTTATGTACCAAAATAACAGTAAAATGAATAACACAAAGGAAATCTTAATAAAAAGCACAATCACTGTGAGATGTCTGAATATATTTTTCAAAATTTGACAACTTAAGGTTATAGATTTAAAAAATACATAACTCTAAGCACATTAATACCTATATGCATATTAGAATCGATATTATTCTCTTAGTTCCACAAATCATTTTTATTCATTTTTATCATTTCTTTTAAATTTTTACTTCAAAAAGTTTCTATAAATATCTACAAATTAAAATGTATTAAAATGGTACCACATATCATTTTTGCTTGATTATTCTTTCCCATTTCCTGCCCTTTTATATGATCAGCCAACCTCCAACTCAAGATCTTGTAACTCATATTAACACCACCCAATGTGTATTCTCCATGCTCACATATCCATAAAAATACATTCATTTATAGAGCTGTTTTATTCATTTATGCTTTTTAGAAAGGGTTCTTAGAATATTCCTTCTATTTCTTTCTTTTCTTGCACTTCGTGTTTCTTCGTCACTTGGGGAGAAAAATCCTTTCAAATCAACTGGTATAGCCCTGATTCCTTCTTAATGGCTGTGTAATACTTTACAGCATATATGTATCACAGCTTTCCAACCAATCCCCTATTGAGGGGCATATACTTTGTTTCAGGTTTTTGCTACCGTGGGGAAATGCTATAATAAACATCCCATCCATATGGCGTTCTGTATGGCTGTCAGTTACTGTTTATGGCACAGATTCACAGGGAACTACTGAGTTAAAAGGTACAAACATTTTAAATTTTAATGGAAGTTAAGAGATTGTTTACCAGTGCATTAACCCTTCAAGTTTCCAAGAGTAATGAGCAACGTCTTTTCTCTCCATGAGAAAGGTCTAATGAATATAAAGTGATATATCATTGTGATTAAAATATTTAATTTCCCTAATGAATCTAAACATTTTTGCTCATATGTTTGTGAGCTATGTGAATAAACCTATCTGTTGTTTATTTTTACCCCGTGCTCATTTTCAACTGGGTTGTCTTTTTCTTAACAATTTAAAGGGCTCATTTATATTATCCCTTTGTTATGAGTTAGAAATGTTTATCCTAGCCTTTCATTTGCCTATGAATTTTAAAGCATCTTTTGCCATAAAAAAATTAAAATTTGTTGGTGTGGTGGCTCACGCCTGTAATCCCAGCATTTTGGGAGGCCGAAGTGGGCAGATCACTTGACATCGGGAGTTCGAGACCAGCCTGACCAACATGGAGAAACTCCCTAATAAAAATACTAAATTAGCCAGACATGGCGGCACATGCCTATAATCTCAGTGACTCAGGAGACTGAGGCAGGAGAATCACTTGAACCCAGGAGACGGGGGTTGCGGTGAGCCAAGATCACACCATTGCACTCCAACTTGGGCAACAAGAGCGAAATTATACTGTCAAACAAGTTCATCTTTTCCAACCTTTGTTTCAGATGACTTCTCTCCACTCACACAGAAGGAATGGGATCTTATCAGATATCTACTCTTATTTAGATTTATAAAGATTCACTTTATGGACAATTTCACAATTAATTTTTTAAATGTTCTGTGACTATACTGAAAAAATTCATAGATATGCTATTCCAATTAAATACAGGTCTAAGCATAACTTGGTATTTTGTCGATTTACTGTTTTGTGCTTATGGGTCTATTATGTTAAAAGCTGTGTCTTTTGTAATTATATCATATTCTTTATCCTGTTTGGGCTTTAATGTCAAATTATACCTTGCATGATGCTAATATTGCCACTTCTACTTTTTTTGCACTTGTGTATGCATTTATCTACTATTTATTTGTTCATCCCATTATTTATAACCTTTCTTTATCTTCAAGTTTTATTTTTGTGGTTGTTTATAATTCATCTCAATGTAAGGATTTAATCCATTTCATAATTAGTGCAATGACGGATATATTTGATTTTTATTATTTTCTCTTGCTTTATGTTTGGTATTTATTTCATATTCTTGTTTTCTCCTTTTCCTTTCTTCACTTTTAATGGTCTGGCCATGTTGATGGTCCTTCCATTTCATCTCTTTGTTAATTTGAAATTGTAATACACTTTTCTGTTAATGTTTATCATCCCCTTTTCCATTTTCTTTAATGTTTACCTCACTTTTTTCTGCTTCGACACATTGCTTGAAGATATTTTAAACAACAGTGTAAATTATTATTTAAAACAAGATATCAATTATACCCCTACCAAGAGGTAACATTTTCCCAATAAAGTAACATTTTTTTCTAATATTTCCTGCATTCCAGTATCAAGAGACCCTCAGAACACTTTCATTGTTCCTATCTCAGCTTCCTACCAACAGATCTGTGAAAAATTTTTACTTCACCCCTTCTCTCTCTACCTCTAAACTTTTGGCTTTTGATGAAAAGGGGTATTATTTTTAGAGTACCAGCAGAATTTCATTAGTATTTCAAGAAATTTATCAGTTATATTGCACGTTCTCATACACTGTATCATTAGAGATAAACACTGAGTTCAAACAAGATTAACTACTCAATGTACTTCTTTGTTTAACACAATAGATATCTTATCTTAATTGGGTATAAAGTCCTTGGATTGCAGTCTCTTCCTCAAAAAAATCAATAAATACTATGCTAGTGTCTTCTAGCTTCCAGTGTTACACATAAGAAGTCCAATTATAATGTGAATCATTTAATCATTACTTTTTGGGGGCAGAGGAGGCTGAGTTTTATAAGATTATCTCATTATTTTTAGAGATAAAAAAATTTTACTAAAACATTCCAGGTGTTTATCTACTCAACCTTTTCACTCTGTAGTGTTGGATTTTCATAGCTCTATAATTTATTAATAATTACCTCTCTTCCATCTCCCCTTTTTTTCTCCTTCTGAAAGCCCTATCATATGCATCTTAACTCCTCTGAATTTATCCTCTATGTCTTTTACCTTTTTCCCTCTTAATTTTCAAATCTTTATATTTTCCTATGTGCTTTGAGGTAACTATGCCATTTTATCTTCCCTAATTAGGTCCGAAGAGTGACTTTATGAAAAAAAAATTAGGTTATTTATTTGTGAAGTACTGTGTGTTAACTCCAGAAAATCTCTTTTGTGCTATATTTGTATCCCACTATTATTCTCTTTTCTTTTTTAAATTTAAGCCGCCATCTACTCCCAACTATTTTGCTGGCACATATTATGTTCTCTCTTTCTTAGTTTCCTCTATGTTGGTGTGTTACTCCCCTCACCATAAGTGTTTTTCCCCCCCACTTTCTTTTGCTTCTTGTTGGGATTCAGCTGTAACGCAGTCAATGGTAAAGGTTTGAGTGGAGACTTTTAACGGGATTTTAAATGATTCTCTATCTCAATCCCTGTCTCCACCAACTCTAGGCAACCACTACTCTATATTCTATCTCTTTAGATTTGCCTATTCTAGACATTTCATATACATAGAATAAATTATGTGGTCTTTGTGATTGGTTTCTTTCATTTAACTTAATATTTTTAAGGTTCAGCTATGTTTTAGCATCTATCAGTATTTGATTCCTTTTTATAGCCAAATGATATTCCTTTATATGAATATTCCATACTATTTATTCATTCATCCATTGATAGAAATTTGGACTATTTCCTATTTTTATTATCATAAATAATGCTGCTGTTAACACTCCGTACAAATTCTTACGTGAATACATATTTTCATTCCTCTTTATTCTTTTGCTAGGAATGGAACCGCTGGTTCAGTTGGTAAATCTATCTTTAATCTTTTGAGGAACATCCAAACTGCTTTCTGAATTGTCTGCGCCATTATATACTTTCACTAACAACATAAGAAGATTCTACCTCTCTATGTCCTCAATAGCACTTGTTATTATCATCTTGTTTATTTGTTTGTTTTTAAGAGATGGGGGTCTCACTTTATTGCCAGGCTAGAATGCATTGGTGGAATCATAGCATACTGAAGCCTCAAACTCCTGGGCTCAAGTTATCTTCCTTCCTCAGCCTCCTGAGTAGCTGTGTCCACAGGTGTATGCCACTGAGGCTGGCTAATTAAAAAAATTTTTTTTTCTAGAGATAGGGTCTTGCTTTGTTGCCCAGGCTGGTCTCAAAATCCTGGCTTCACGTGATCCTCCTGCCTCAGCCTCCCAAAATGCTGGGATTATAAGTATGAGCCACCATACTCGGCCTTGTTTCTATCTTTTGACAACAGTCATCCTAGTAGGAATAGAGTATTATAACAATGTGGTTTTAATTTACATTTCTCTGATGGCTAATTTTTTTGTTTGTTTGTTTTTGAGATGGAGTCTCACTCTGTTGGCCAGGCTAGCGTGCAGTGGCACAATTATGGCTCACTGCAACCTCTGCCTCCTGTTTCAAGGTATTCTACTGCCTCGGCCTCCCAGGCAAGTGGGATTACATGCATGCACCACCACACCTGGTTAATTTTTTGTATTTTTAGTAGAGATGGGGTTGTTCCATGTTGGCCAGGCTGGTCTTGAACTCTTGACTTCAAGTGATGCACCTGCCTCAGCCTCCTACTAACGTGTTGGGATTACAGATATGAGCCACTGTGCCCAGCCTGATTTTTAAGTATCTTTTTCGGTGTCTATAGCCCATAAGCCAATCTTTATATAGAAATGTCTATTCAGATCCTTTGCCTATTTTTAAATAGGGCTACTTGTCTTTTAATTGTTGAGTTGTACACGTTCTTTATATATTCTGTACAAAAGTACCTTATCACATATAAGAAAAATTTTCTCCTATTCTGTGGTTTGTCTTTTTACTTTCTTGATGTTGTTCTTTTAAACATAAAAGTTTTAAAACTGATCAAGTCCAATTTTTCTACTTTTTTTCTTTTGCTGTTTGTTCTTTTGGTGTCATACATTCAGAATGCTTTGCCTCATCCAAAGTCATCAACATTTATTCATGTATTTCTTTTTAAGAATTTTATAGTTAGAGCTCTTATATTTAAGTCTATGATCCATATTTAGTTAACTTTGTTTACTGTGTTGTTATAGGCACCTAAATTCTTTCTTTTGCATGTGGATATCCAGTTGCCCTCACCAATATTTGTCAAAATGGCTATTTTTTTCCCTATCAAACTCTCTTGAAAACCTTGTCAATATCAATTGACCATAAATGTGAAGGCTTATTACTGAACTCTCATTCCACTCCATTTTATCGACTAATATGTCTATCCTTATGCCAGTACTGCTCTATTTTAATTAATGTAGCTTTATGGTAAGTTTTGAAATCAGTAAGCATGAGTCCTCCAACTTTATTCTTTGTTAAGATTGTTACGGTTATTCTAGTTCCCTCATAACCTAGATCAGACATTTCCATGTCAGAATCTGGCACTTCTATATGATTGGTAGAATCAGTGTATTCATTTCTACAAAAAAGCAGATGAAATCTGTGGACCAATTTGGAGAGTATTAACATTTTAATAATACTGAATGTTTCAATTCATGAACATAGGATGGGATGTCTTTGCATTACCATCTAGATCTTATTTCAACAATATTTTGTAGTTTTCAGTACATAAATCTCGCAGGTCTTTGGTGATTTTATTCCAAAATATTTTGTTCTTTTTGATGCTACTGTAAATGGCATTGTTTTCTTAGTTTCATTTTTGAGTTGTTCGTTAATATATTAAAATATGCTTCACTTTTGCATATTTCTCTGATATCCAGCAAACATATCAAACTAATCTATTAGCTGTAATAATTTTTATTAGATTTCTTAGAATTTCCTATATACAATATTATTTCATCTGTAAACAGAGATAGTTTTACTTCTTTCTTTCTAATCTGATGCCCTTCATTTCTCTTTCTGACTAAGCACCTGGCCAAAACCTTCAGTACAATATTCCATGTAAGTAGCATGAACGGACATCTTTGTCTTGTTCATGATCTTGCAAGGGAAAGCATACAGTCTTTCACCATTAAGTATGATATTAGGTGTGGGTTTTCCATATATATCTGTCTTAGCTCAGGCTGCTACAACAAATACATCATAAACTGGGAGGCTTAAACAACCAACATTTATTTTTTACAGTTCTGGAGGTTGGGAAGCCTAAGATCCAGGTGCCAGCAGATTTAGTATCTGGTGAAGGCCTGCTTCATGGCTTGCAGATGACCATGACCTTGTTGTATCCACATATGGTGGACAGCAGAAACAGAGGAAAGCTTTCTTGTATCTCTTCTCAGAAGTGCCCTAATCATAAAGGTTCCATCCTTATGACCTAATTATTAATATGTCCCACAATTCTCACATCCAAATACTACCACACTGGGAATTAGGCCTCAACATATATATTTAGAGAGTGAGGAGGGACACAAACATTCAGTCCATGCAATCATCTTTATCAAGTTAAAGAGGTTTCCTTCTCTTTCTAGTTTGCTGAATGTTCCTCTCATTAAAGACTTTTGGAATTTTGTTAAATGTTTTCCCTACATTTATTGAGGTGATCATGTGATTTTTGTCCTTTATTCTCTTAATTTGATGCATTACATGAATTGTTTTCTAAGTTTAAAACAACCTTACATCCCTAGGATAAATCCCATTTGGTCATGATTTATTTAATGGCATTCTGTTGAGGATTTTTGCATCTGTATTAAAAAAGATACCAGTCTGCAGTTTTCTTTTCTTGCAGCATCATTGCCTGGTTTTCATATCAGGATCAATCTACGTTACCTTTACAGAATTAGTTGGGGAATAATTGGTATTCTTCTTTAAACATTTGGTAGAATTCAACAGTGAAATAATCTGTGACTGAGCTTTTCTTTGTAGGAATTTTTAAACTATTAATTTAACCTCCTGCTATTGTCCTATTCAGATTTCCATTCCTTCTTGATTCAGTTTCAGTAATTTGTGTCTTTATAGTAGACCAACTATATATTTATAGAGTTTGTTATATTAACCATTTTATTTGCCACCTCTGGCTCTTTCCATTTCTTTATGTAACTTGAAGCCCCATTTCCTTACCCCAGTACAGCATTATTACCACTCACATCATTTGTGTTGTTACTGTCAAATATATTTCCAAATATTGCAGACCTAACATCACAATTTTTATATACATATTTTTATACATCTGCTTTATAAATCAGTTTTTAAAAAAGAAAGGAAATAGATTATACTATCTCTTAGATTTATGTACTTAATTATCTTTATAAATGAGTGGATTCAAATTATTGTTTGGTGCAGCTTGCTTTTAGCCTTAAAAACTTTTCTTATATGGGTCTGGTAGCAAGAAATTATCCTGGTTTATGTTTATCTGGGAATGCATTTTGCATTCATTTTTAAAAGATAGTTTTGCTGGATATAAGTTTCTTGGAGGACAGTTTTTTTCTTTCAGTGCTTTGAATATATCACCCCACTGTCTTCGGACCTCTATTGTTGATGAAAAGTCAGCCATCAATATTGTCAGGGTTCCCTTGTAGATGCTTTTCTCTTGTGACTTTCATTATTTTTTTGTCTGTTTTTGTCTTCCCACATTTTCAGTAAATGTGTCTTAGTGCAGACTTCTTTTTTTTTTTTTTTGAGACAGAGTTTCGCTCTTGTTACCCAGGCTGGAGTGCAATGGCACGATCTCAGCTCACCGCAACCTCCGCCTCCTGGGTTCAGGAAATTCTCCTAGTGCAGACTCCTTTATGTTTATCCTAATTGGAGCTTGCTGATATGCTTGAATTAGTAGACTTGTAGTTTTCATCAAATTTGGGAAGTTTTCAGTTATTATTTTTTGTATACATTTTCTACTCTTTTTTCTCTCATCTCCTGATACTCTCATTATGTGTATTTTGACACACTTAAAAGATTGGAATTCAAGTCTGTTTTGCTCTAAGACTGTATTCACTATGTGCTCCATAAAAAGAAGCATTTCAATTCATCTGCAGAACTATTTTTCAAGAATTACATCTATGAGAAGTGTCGTAATATCAAATAGGTAACACAGTATACAGAAATACATACTTTTGCAAGGGTATTCCACTTTATTTGTTGACAGTAAATAACATTAATTAGTTCTCAAGAGTATCTACACTGGAATTGCAAAAATGTGTTATTTAGTACACGTGTCATAAGCTAATGTTTTAGTTTTGTGTGTTTTGTTTTGGTTACCTTCAAGAAGTTCATCCTCATCGATGCCTTTGACAATCTTTGATTTGTAGTCTCGGATAAACATGTATTTTAGCAATCTTCTAAGTTTTTTCTATTAAAAATATAAAATAAATAAGAAAACCTACACATATATTCACTTTACTGATAAAAGACTACTATAACCAAATTTAATAAATTTGTACACCATGACATCAGAGAAAATAAAGTAATGCTTAGCATACTGCTATGAGATAAAAAGGTAGTCATCAAACACAAAGGGTAAAACACAATTCTTTTAAAAAGCATTTTTCATTTACAAATATCTAGATGTTCTACAATCACAATAGTCACACATTGCTTCATGATGGGGATCTAAGAAATGCATCACAGAATACACTTAATAAACCTGGATGGAGCAGCCTAATGCACACCTAGGCAACGTGTGGCCTACTGTTCGTGGGCTACAAACCCGTACAGCATGTTATCATATTGAATACTGTAGGCAACGGTAAGAAAATGTTAAGTATTTGTGTATCTAAACATATCTAAATATAGAAAAATTACAGTTAAAATACCATGTAAATGATAAAAGATTACACACCTGTAGAGGGCATACACCATGAATGAAACTTGTAGGACCTGAAGTTGCTCTGGGTGAGTCCATGAATGAGTGGCAAGTGAATCTGAAGGCCTAGGACATTACTGTATGCTATTGCAGACATTATTTAAAAAAAAAAGCGGTACACTCAGGCTACACTATATTTAAAATTTTTCTTTCTTCAATAATAAATGTTCCCTATTAGCTCACTGTAACTATTTTACTTTATAGACTTAATTTTTAAAAAATTGACTCATACTTAGCTTAAAACACAAACACCTTATACAGCTATACGAAAATGTTTTCCCTTTATATCCTTATTCTATAAACTTTTTTCTACTCTAAAATATCTTTTAGCTTTTAAACTTCTTTGTTAAGAACTAAGACACACACACACACACACACGCCTAGGCCTACACAGGGTCAGGACTGCCAGTTATCACTGTCTTCCACTTCCACATCTTGTCCCACTGGAAGGTCTTCAAGGGCAATGGCATGCATGGAACTGTCATCTCCCTTGATAACTGCTTTCTTTTTGGAATATCTCATGAAGGAGCAACCTCAGGTGGTTTACAGTTAAGTGTTTATGCAAGTAGTACACTCTAAAATAATGATGAAGATTATAAATACATAAACAAGAAACAGTCACTATCTTTATCAAGTGTTATGTACTATACATAATTTTATGTGCTAGACTTGTACCATCAGCAGTGCAACAGGTATACATCAGTATCACCACAAACTTGAATCATACATTGCACTACAATGTTATGATGGCTATGACATCACTAGATAATTGGACATTTTCAGCTCCATTATAATCTTATGGGACTACTGCTGTATTTGCAGTACATTGTTAACCAAAAGGTCATCATATGGTACCTGACTGTAACTGCCATTTTGTTTGTTTGTTTTGAGATGCAGTTTTTGCTTTTGTTGCCCAGGCTAGAGTGTAATCGTGCAATCTCAGCTCACCACAACCTCTACCTCCCGAGTTTAGGCTATTCTGTCTCAGCCTCCTCAGTAGCTGGGATTACAGGTGTGTACCACCACACCCAGCTTATATTTGTATTTTTAGTAGAGACAGGGTTTCTCCATGCTGGTCAGGCTGGTCTCAAACTCCCAGCCTCAGGTGATCCAACCGCCCCTGGCCTCCCAAAAGCTTTAGGCCAGGTGCAGTGGCTCACATCTGTAATCTCGGCACTTTGGGTAGCTGAGGTGGGCAGTCACAAGGTCAGGAGATCGAAACCATCCTGGCCAACATTGTGAAACTCCATTTCTACCAAAAATACAAAAATTTGCTGGGCATGGTGGCGTGCACCTGTGGTCCCAACTACTTGGAAGGCTGAGGCAGGAGAATAACTTGAACCCAGGAGGCAGAGGTTACTGTGAGCAGAGATCATGCCATGGCACTCTAGCCTGGCGACAGAGCAAGACTTCATCTCATTTAAAAAAAAAAAAAAAGTTGAAAAATTTTTTGAATATTGTATTATCAGTCTCCATACCAAGCTGACTGTACTTAGGCTATAAAATTTTGTACATACTCAAGATGAAATTTAAAAAAAATTAACTTATAAATACCTAGACAGTGAGTTTGTAATAGTTGCTTTAAAAGCCAAGCAATTCCTTTTTACTGTTTTTTATTCTCTGAAATCTTATCCTTTTGCTAGAAGATTTGGTTTATGTGTTATGTTTATGGAAAACAATCTGTAACCTGACAAATGTATTTTTATGAAATTTGAAGCTGATGAATGATAGTTAGGTCTTAATGATGGCCTTCTTTAGATTTAGTAGACCATAATACTGCTTAATTTTAAAAGTAACTGATAATCCTTTGCAGCTTATTGTATGCTTCCACTTAGAATGTATTATCATTCATTTCTGAACTTCAGGTTTAAGATTTCTTTTAATAGCTGAAACATACTACATTTTACAAAGTTCTTTACATGCACTTCATTTGATACTTTCAATAGTTTCTTTGCATCTTGTGCCTTGGACATACGACTGCCTCACCCTAGGCAGAAACTTCAGAAAGTCCTATAGCCTCTCCATCTAATCATACAACCTTGAAATTTTGACTTTTAAAATGCTTCTTCAACTAAATCATATAGATATCCTAAACCAGATCATAATTTTCTTAGTGAAGATTTTCCATTTTTAAAATATTCTTCATATTATCTAAGAGTTGATTAACTGAGACGTAAAATATTAGAGAATATTTTCAACTAGCTACTCATGGAAAATAATTATGACAAAATTAGACACACAAATATCACAAATTTTAATACCAAATTTCAAAGAGTAAGAAAGGTAGGTCTTTGTTAAAAAACAAAAAATTGGTATGTATTTATTCCATTGAAAATTCATCTTAATTAATTTGCTTTTTCTAATAAGCTAAAACCACAGACTAAACTTTGTATTTCAGGCTTAAAAAATTACTCTAGGAGAGTCTATAAGTCTGGTAATGTTAATCAACAAAAAGAGAAGAAAAATTAACGTACCATTCAGTTATATCCCATTTATGACAACAGAACATAGCGTCAATAATTAGTGAGTGACATGTAGCAATAAAAGTGTCTATATAGACACAGAAGGATAAGTGAAGGTTCGCTGTTAGCACAGTTTTTATATAAGTGCTTTTGTCCACATAATAAATATCAATTCTTTTGTAAATCCATTTTGTTGTGCAAACCATGAGGACTAAAATGTCAGTTCAATAGTTATGATTTTAATTTGAAAGCAATGTAACACGGATATGTAGTGTCCACATACAAGTTCAATTAAACACAACGCCTGGAATTTAATACAATAAATTATTTTATATTACCTTATCTTTGCGCATCAAAAACAGAAGATCTTCAGGAGTGATAACTCTTGCTCCACGCAGCTGAGAAACTTCAGCAGCTTGCTGTAACTAAAAATAATGAAAATTTAGAAATTTTTCTCAGTAATATAAATTACGTATAGTACAGTCATGGTTTCTCTAGAGAGATAAATACACTAAGAGTTAAAAACCTTTGGGAATAATCCAGCAATCACATTACTGCTTTTAAGAGCTAAATGTCTTATGTTTTTAAGATATAAAAAATGCAATTAAATTAACTTATGAGCCCACCTGTAACCAATACAATAAACAGAAATCTTTTATTTCTTTCATGCAAAAGAAAAATCATGCACAGCTTCCAAAAATGCATTAATGCACCTGAAAATAATTTCATGAAATTTTATACTTCATACTCATGTGAGCAATGGTTTCACTCAGTATCACTAGTTGAATAAGTATATTATTAATCTGAGCTCCCATGCTGCTATGATTTGAAATAGGCCCATTCAGAACTTTAAAAGATCAACAAAAACAGTAGCTGTTTCTAATATCCAAAGGAAAAAAAATACGTTTAGTTTTGGCAAGTCTTCAGTGGGTAAAGGATTCAGTCCATAAATCATAATACTGGACTGCATTAATTTCTTTCCATACTAATCACATCCACACAAAAAGTTAACTGTATCTGGAATGTACAACACAAAACATTACTGCATGAAAAGTTAGATTCCCCCTGAAATGTTCATCTAGGCCCTTATATCTACAAAGTAAAGATTTTTCAGGAATTCGTAAGTCACAGAAACACAATCTTACTTAAAAATGATCTGGAAAATAGAAGAATGTGAAAAATGATAGTTCTATTTTTTTGGCACAGGCAAACTCACTTTCTTATTTTGATTAGCTGGAAGCAACATGAAATATGTCCATCTGAAAAAAATAAAGATGCTAGCGAAAACACTGTATAAGTGTGCCTGTAACTTCTTCCAAATTTGATTAAATCATACTGATTGCACCAAACCAAGTCTATCCAATATGAAATAATATAAAAATATTTACATGTGAAAGCTGCTCCTGAATGCATCCTTCTTTTAAAAGATAAACCTAACACATATTCTTGAGAACTAATCTTTAAAAAGCGACACACTGTTATCTCAACAAATATATGAAATCAAATAGTACATTTGTGCTAAAGAAATTCTGCTTAAATGTTTAATCCATTTTGCTAAGTAAGCTTCAAACCTTCTCTAAATACACAGACTACAAAATAGACTATAAACTCGCTATGTGTCAGCTTTACCACTGAATTTCCTGGATACTGTGGTTGGTATATAAACACAATCCTATCTAAATATAGAAATTTAAATTTAACTGTGAAGTATTTAAAAAGAAAATCTTGAGGTGGGGGGGGGAAGGTTTTTTAAAAATGATGTTATCTACTCAGAAACTAAAAGTTTTCAGCAGGCATAAACGTATTTTTCCTAAAAATTGAAGAGTGTGAAGGAAATATATGTACACATGCTTTTTCAAATAAAAACATTTCTATCACAATCTAAAATACATACAATCAGTGTTGAGAAGAATACAAGTTATATATACATTTGTCTTGACACATACATAGCCACTTTATTTTCTTAAATGAAGAATGGTGATCATTTGAAATCTGAAAAGCACTATGTAGATATATGAAACTACTCACATTAAGAAAGGATCAAGACAAACACATACCCCTAAGTAGTTTTCCCAATTAATCAATACTACATATAAATAATCTCTATTCATAACATTCTCCAAAGTATCAGTTAACAGTCATATTAGCGGGGGTAAGTAGGAAAATAGAAAATGAAAGACATAGAAGAGTTTGACATTTGGAATCACTATTTTGTTTTTTTTTTTTTTTTTTTTCCAGAACCAATACATGACCACTGTAAGGATCTGGAATTTATACAACGGTTATGCTGTCATATATAGTAGGAAAAGTTTATCTTTGTTTTTTATTTATCTGATTTTCTAATTTACCTCAACCAACATAATATCCTTACTGGGACTGCTACCACTCCCTAGTCTGCCTTGGACCTCTGCCTAGTTAGTACGTCTCTGGGTCTGAAAGTACCGCTATGTTACCGTACCAAGGCCTGCCTATCCTGAATGTGTCCCAAACTCTAAAGTTACCTCTCTCAAACTCTGACCTCCTCTTCACTACCAAGTGAAGAGAGCAATCTTATTAGCTAATTAAAGTAATACATACTAAAATACATAGGGTCACCTATTATACCCCTATCAAAATACTCAAGTCCTGAACTCAGTCCTATGGGACCTGTATATACGAAAACTCAGCCCTCCTTATAGAAGAGTTTCACATCCCAGGAATATTATTTGTCAAAGTAAACAAAATATAATACTAACTTGTAACAACTTTGACAGTAAAAAAGTTCCCTCAAATATTAAAACTCATGTTTACATTTTAAGCATGTTATAATACTTTATTAGGAGGTTGAGAATTAAAAAGGTACACTATTACATGTCACCTCAAATGCCACATCTCTGACCCTATAAATAAATCCATTCTCAATTTCTCATTGCTATCCATGACATTCACTTTTTTTTCTCACTGTATTATATATTCACCAACTTCTGCTGATTTTGTTGTTTCTTTTAATCTTCTCAGGGTCTTGATGCGCTATTTCCATCATATTTGCTCTACTATAATCTCCCTTAAATACAATGTCTGAATTTTTGCTCAAAGATTTATGATAATTCACTATTATCTAAATTCAATGTGGTCTTTAAACCTCGAATGATTCACTTATTTTCCCAATAATAATTTTTATTGCTTTTCTCTCATATAATTCTACATATAGGTTCCAATAATTTTGGTTCTTTGTACCTTTGTGTACTTGTGATGGTTAATTTTATGTGTCAACTTGACTGGACCATGGGGTACCTAGACATCTGGTCAAGTATTATTCTGGGAGTGGCTATGAGGGTATTTCTGGATGAGATTAACATTTCAATAAGTAGGCTGAGTAGCAGACTGTCCTCTCTAATGTGGGTGGGCCACATCCAATCAGTTGAAGACCTGCATAAAATAGAAAAGGCTGAGTAAGAGGAACCAACTTCTGCCTGAATGCATAACCTGGGACACTGGGTCTTTTCTGGCCTTTGGTCTCAGACTGAAACATCAGCTTTTCTTGCGTTCTGAGGCTGCTGGCTTTCAAACTGGAGCTACACATCTACATGCTGGCTTTCCTGGGTCTCCAGTCTGCCAAATGAAATTTTGGGAATCCTCAGACTCTATAACTACATAATTAAAATTTATTATCCTTATAATACATTAATCTCTCACATACACAGGCATGCACACACACATACTTACTGTTGGAGAACTCTAACATAGTACTATATTCAAATTATGAGAAAACCTTGATTCTTTATAAGATGTGGCACTTTTTTCTATGAAATATAAGCTTTAAAATAATTTTCTCAGAAAAATAAGATCTATGATTATTGTCACACAAGTGTTTATCATCTAACATAGATAGAAAACTTAAGTGCACAGTTTACAATATCTTAATTGCACTTGTTATGAAGTTTCCTAACACTCCTGCCTCCTAAATATCTTTTGAATAATACACGTAGGTCCAGGACCATTGGTCCTGATCAGGCAATTTATAAATGTTTGTTAAATGTTGGCAACCTATACTCCCCTCCATGATTTTCAGTTTTCCCATTTATATCTAACAGATATGTGTTAAACTACATAAAATCTATGACCTTTTGCATTTGACTGGGGCCCACATAAATTCAGCACAAAGACTTCTCTAACGTTCTAAAAAGTTTAAAGTGTACAGCAGAATTAAGTTGATGATTCCACAATTACTAAGCTACTGAAAGTATTTTCATGCAACTTCCAGTGCAGCTCTTTCCTTTAGGTTTTGCCTAAGAACCTGGATTTGTGCTTTTTGAAGATAAATAGTAAAAGGTAGGAGTTGTGGTGAGCTAGTATCATGAAGAGGCAGAATCCTAGGTGAGGCTGACACCTTGCCTAAAATTATTTATTTTTCTATCAGTCTATTTATTATGCATTCATAATCTCTCAGGCCAGATTCTAGGTTAGGCTGTGAATGCTCAGCTCTGCTTACAACCATACTTGCTAGCCAGAGATAACCCCGAAGGTTTTCTCTAAATCATCCATGATGTGATTGAAAGAACCTGGAGTTAAATTTCCTAAGTTGGAGTCAGGAAACTCCAGTGTAGTTCTATCACTAAGTAACTGCACAACCTTAGACACATCGAATAACTGCTCTAGGTTTGTAGGTTTATGTTTCTCTTTTATTTGAAATAGGTAATCAATGACTTTAATGATTAGTAAGAGAATTAAAATCTCAGTGGTAACAGTAGCTACCATATATTGTGTCCCTAATTTGTGCCAGGTGCTGTGCTCTGTCTTATAAATACTTGATTTTAACTTTTAAATTTTATATCTAAGTTAAAAAAATATATAAAACATTACAAGTCAAATAACACTATAAATTTTATAATGACAGGAATACCTTGACACATTTCTTTCAAATCTGTAATTGTGCTTCCAGTGGCAATCACCTTTAACTTTTTTTTTTTTTTTTTTTTTTTTTTTTTGAGACAGAGTTTCATTTTGTTGCCCAGGCTGGAGTGCAGTGGCATGGTCTTGGCTCACTGCAGTCTCTGCCTCCTGGGTTCAAACAATTCTCATGTCTCAGCCTCCCGAGTAGCTAGGATTACAGGTGCCTGCCAACACGCCCGGCTTTTTTCTTTTTATTTCTTTTTGTAATTTAGTAGAGATGGGGTTTCACCATGTTGTCCAGGCTGGTGTTGAACTTCTGAGCTCAGGCAATCTGCCCATCTAGGCCTCCCAAAGTGGTAGGATTACAAGAATGAGCCACCATGCCCGGCCACCTTTAACTTTTTAAGCTTGTTTCTATGTTATTTACCAATATATTTGAAATAAGCTTATAATACTTGTATTTTTCAGCTTTAAATATTATAAAATGACTTCTTATGAGAGGAGAAAAAGATTTAGTGCTCTCAGACACCTCAAATTTGACCATCTCTCCTCT